TCCTGACAAACTGACTCTCTGTACAGTCAACACAAGTAAACATTTTGTGACCCTCGCGCTAACAAGCTTGTAACTTTTGGCTTAAGTGTGTGTTAAATCACAGAAAAATTGTGACAAATTACAGTCATCATCCTTCAGAAAACATGACATCACAGGTATGCCCAACTTTTTTAATAATACCGAGATATCAGCTTTGTAATACTAACAATTCAGATCAATTTAAACAGAAGCCCAGATCAGTGACAACAGCACGGAATCTACATTGTGTATTTGAGAGGATGAGACACTGATTTACCAAAGACCCATTTAGAAAAATAATCGTGGGACTGTTGATGTTGTACAAAAACCATAAATCATTACAACAATTTGATATATTCTGTTATACGAAACATTTGATAGTGCATTGAGGTAATAAGATTGCGAGATTAATCAACAACAGGTGCCAGGGATTGGTATATCACTATTGAGTTAACAGAATTCCACACACATGATTGTGATGGTGTGACTAGGAATCCAACAACAAACCACCAATTTAGTCTATTATGTCACACAATGTTCAACGACCAATTAAGGATGTTCTAAACACTTGGCAACAGTTCTAGAAACAGATAATTATAGAGGACACAAATTAACAATGCAGATCTCAGATTTTCAGATGGGTCATCAATTTCTGCGATTTCTTATTATCATGGTCTTTAGTTTGCACTGCTGTAGCGATGTTCTGGCAGTGTTGTGCAGTCCTAAATGCACCACCTGTGACACGGACACCCCAGGACATGTTGTTAAAGTTGTGTGTACAGGAGTGGATATTCCTACCATCCCGGACTCGGTACAAGAGATGTACTTGGCCGAGGGAAAGGTGAGTTTGCCAGGTTTTTTCAAGGATTATGTGTTTATTGGCAAGACAGAATTACGCAAAATACAACTGAAAAAATATGGTATAAGTATGGTATGGGAGTCTCCTTTCATTAATCTCACAGATCTCATTGAAGTGGACCTTAGCTTTAATGAAATCCCCGACTTTGACAAGTCTAATCTAGCTGGGCCTGTAGCTTTACAGGTGCTAAATCTGAACCACAACAAAATACAACAAATTCTTGATGATGCATTCAGTAATCAAACATCACTGAAGCAACTTTGGATGTCTATGAACAAAGTGACAAGAATTCCACCACATGCTTTCCGTGGCCTAACTAATGTGGAGCATATAGACCTATCATATAATCTCCTGACTACCATAGACAGTCAGGCTTTCCATCACTGTACAGCACTAAAGACTGTGTCCCTGAGAGGAAACCAGCTTAACACTGTGGCTCCACATCTGTTCCAAGGCCTCACACACCTAAATACTGTGAATTTTCAGAGGAATCATCTGGTCTCCATTGGCCAAGAATCCTTCATCGGGACAAATCTCACTTTATTGGACCTCTCTCGTAACAATCTTCACGATGTAAGGTCAACCATGGCGATATTGAAAAATATTTCTGGTGATAATGTAGAAGTGATTTTAAGTGCTAATCATTTAAATACAAGCTACAAAGCAGGCATGTTCTCGGGTGTGACTCTGAAACTGCTGGACCTACAATATAATGGCTTATCCATGCTTCCACAAGACACTTTTGCAAACAATCAAATTCGTAACCTGAAGCTAGCACACAACAACTTGCTGTCCCTACCATCAAATATGGAGGCATATTTGAGAGCTGTCAAACCTAACATTTCACTGGATGATAATCCCTGGCTATGTGACTGTAGACTCTTATGGTTCTCTATGTATCTTCGTCAATTATCACCCCCTGATTTTGGAACCAGACTACAAAGTACACTGAAGTGTCATGGGCCTAACTCTGTTCAAAATCACTTTATTCAAGATGTCGCTACAATTATAGAACCAGGATGCAGAACGACCATGTCCACAACTACAACAAGATATCATCACTCTTCTGAGGATACCAGCACCATAACAACAGTCTTTCTTACTGTTAAAGTGCCTGTACAAACATCAGCTGGAGTCAGTCAACCGGGACTGGGACCTAATGGTGGCCTCAACTTTCCCCTGTCAACAGACAAAACCAGTACACCTGGAGGAATCGGTGGCACACAATCTTTATCTGAAACAAGTGCCACCATGACTGCAGCATTGTCACAGGTAGCAGGTGGCATTACATCTGCAAAGTTGCCACAAATAGTAGGTGGCACCATATCTGCAGGGCTGCCACAGGTATCAAGCAGCATTAAATCTACAAGACTGCCACCAATGACAGGTAGCATCCAGTTTTCAGGGTTGCCACTGGTAACAGGTAGTTCCATAACTTTTGGGCCAAAACTGAACAATGGACAAAGCAAAGGCCAAGCTATAACCTCATCAGAAAGTCCAAGTAGTTCATTCCCGATTGGTGCAGTTGTGGGACCACTAGCAGCATTGTGTGTGATAGGTGGGGCTGTAGGGTGGTTCCTTTACAGGAAACAATCTAGAGGAAACAATGGTAAAATCAACAGCCACCATCCCCATGAACCAGAGGAATCAGACTATCTCTGGGACAAACATCACCCTGTGTCAAGGTCACTAGGGCCTTCTAAAACTTACTTTAATTCAAACTCTTTAAAAAACTTTCATTCTTATCAGCTTTCATCAACTATCATTTGATGTGAATTAAACTGCATGTTAATAGCAAGTTTAAAATTCTACATAAAATATACTTTCCTTCTTAAAATTGAACTTCTGCCAAAAGTATATAGAAAATTTGGTGGAAGAAAGTTCTAAGTAGGAGTCGTATACTTTGACGAGAACATTTCATGAAGAACACTGCCTGAAATGTGAGAATGTACACAGATCTTGTTACATAAGTTTGTTTTAGGATTCCTCTAAAGAAACCATAATCACACTGAAATACTGACTGTGATTTAACTTAATATATATAAGTATGATAACAATTATCACACTGAAATACTGACTGTGATTTAACTTAATATATATAAGTATGATAACCATAATCACACTGAAATACTGACTGTGATTTAACTTAATATATATAAGTATGATTACCATAATCACACTGAAATACTGACCGTGATTTAACTTAATATATATAAGTATGATAACCATAATCACACTGAAATACTGACCGTGATTTAACTTAATATATATAAGTATGATAACCATAATCACACTGAAACTTAATATATATACTATGATAACCATAATCACACTGAAATACTGACTGTGATTTAACTTAATATATATAAGTATGATAACCATAATCACACTGAAATACTGACTGTGATTTAACTTAATATATATAAGTATGATAACCATAATCACACTGAAATACTGACTGTGATTTAACTTAATATATATAAGTATGATTACGCTTCTATTGCGTAACATAATATGACTATGAATGTATTAAAAAATATTCTGGTTTCATACATATATATCTTTGTAAGACATACATGACCGTTCAAATATAATAAAATTTGACACTGTATAAAATAGTAAATGCTACTACGTACATGACCGTTCAAACATAATAAAATTTGACAATGTATAAAATAATAAATACAACTACGTACATGACCGTTCAAACATAATAAAATTTGACAATGTATAAAATAGTAAATGCTACTACGTACATGACCGTTCAAACATAATAAAATTTGACAATGTATAAAATAATAAATACAACTACGTACATGACCGTTCAAATATAATAAAATTTGACAATGTATAAAATAATAAATACAACTACGTACATGACCGTTCAAATATAATAAAATTTGACAATGTATAAAATAATAAATACAACTACGTACATGACCGTTCAAATATAATAAAATTTGACACTGTATAAAATAATAAATACAACTACGTACATGACCGTTCAAATATAATAAAATTTGACAATGTATAAAATAATAAATGCTACTACGTACATGACCGTTCAAATATAATAAAATTTGACAATGTATAAAATAATAAATGTAACTAGTTCACTTACAGTACTTATCCTCATCTATTCAATATTTGCTTTTTTTCTCAATGTTTCCCACTTGATGTTTATTAAGAGGAGTTGTTTACGAGTATTAGAGTTACCTCCCTTAGCTAATAAGATTTGATGAGACATTAAAATATCTCACTACCCCATCCATGAAGAATTCTGACTGCCATTGTCAAGGCATTGAAGACACATTGTTATATAATTTTCTGTAATATTCATTAAGAACACTGAATACATCACTATTTTTGTATGTTGTTTTTTGTTGGTACCAATGTTTCTGCATGAAACAGTAAAACCTTTGTTACTCTGCTTAGATCAGAGAGCACAAAATATATACATCTTAAATGTGGTGTCATCAATATATGTATTCTGTTACTATCTGAAACATCATGTGACCTCAGTATCAGACATTAATTTGTGACTAAGGCACTAAAATATCCCAATCTAGATACAGATAATAAATGTGAATGTTATCTCAGAACTTTGTATGATAGTGTATAATCTGTGTCAGTAAAAATCTCTTTGTAACCTTCCCTGGAACAGAGGTTACAAACCCCTGTTTATATTGTTAACTATTATTTGTTGTCTTGACAAAGTTATCTGCCCCTGTTTGTAGACCTCACAGAGTTTCTGCCTGTATTTGAGGTCCAGACAGGGGTACCTGCCCCTGTTTGATGTCCAGACAGGGGTACCTGCACCTGTTTGAGGTCCTGACAGTTATCTGCCTGTGTTTGAGATCCTGACAGGGGCACCAGCACCTGTTTGAGGTCCTGACAAAGTTATCTGCCCCTGTTTGAGGTCCAGACAGGGGTACCTGCCCCTGTTTGAGGTCCAGACAGGGGTACCTGCACCTGTTTGTGGTCCTGACAGAGTTATCTGCCTGTGTTTGTGGTGCTAACAGAGGTAACTGTGCCTGTGTGTAACCCTGACAAAGTTCTGTGCCTTTTTTTAGTCCTGAAAGAGTTACCTTCCCCTGTTTGTAGTATTTATAGGTTTACTTACCCCTGATTGTTTATCACAGCGGGTCTGAGTCAGGATGATGTTAAACACGGCATGGGAACGACTACTTTCGTTGTTCATGTTGGTGGCTGCCACTGTCCTGGATTTGTTGCCTTCACTCATAAGATTGTCTATATCCTGTAACACAGTATGATATAGAAAGCATTGTTTTAACTGAGAAATGAAAACAACAGCAGTAAACCTAGTCCCATAATACTGTCTACATAAACAAGAGTGTATTTCTTTTAAGCACTTATAATACAATACAATATTACTCACCTGTTTATATCACATCTCACTGATAAGTCTGATCTTGTTTATTTCTGTTAATATCACCACTTTCAGACAAATCTGATCTAATGCTAAATTTCTGATAATATCCCCACTCTGACAAGTCTGATCTAATGCTGGATTTCTGATAATATCACCACTCTCAGACAAGTCTGATCTAATGCTGAATTTCTGATAATATCACCACTCTGACAAGTCTGATCTAATGCTGAATTTCTCATAATATCCCCACTCTGACAAATCTGATCTAATGCTAAATTTCTGATAATATCACCACTCTGCTGAATTTCTGATAATATCGTTACTCTCAGACAAGTATGATCTAGAGTTTATTTCTGTTAATATCCCCACTCTGACAAGTCTGATCTAATGCTGAATTTCTAGATCACCACTCTCTGACAAGTTTGATCTAATGCTAAATTTCTGATAATATCACCACTCTCAGACAAGTCTGATCTAATGCTGAATTTCTGATAATATCGTCACTCTCAGACAAGTATGATCTAATGCTGAATTTCTGATAATATCACCATTCTCTGACAAGTCTGATGTAATGCTGAATATCTGTTATTATCAAATCTCTCTTGACACATCTTATCTAATGCTGATTGCCTGTTAATATGACATATCTATGGCAAGTCTAACCTAATCCTTTTTATTGTTAACAGTGTTGACTTGTAAATACACATCTTATCTAATGCTGATTGCCTGTTAATATGACATATCTCAGGCAATCAAACCTAATCCTTTTTATTGTTAACAGTGTTGACTTGTAAATACTTAAATCTATGATAAAAAGTGACATCAGAACAAATGTATCATTAATAAATTGTTATTGATAAATCAACAATACTTAAACAATGAAAAAAAACAATCAGTATTCAACTGAAGAACATATGACGATGGAGGACCACAACCACTTCTATGTATTGTTGTAAGGGAAATAACTCTTATGATTTGTATTTATAAACAAACAGCTTTTTAACAAGATTTAACAGATGACGATGGAGGACCATAATCACATTTATATATTGTTGTAAGGGAAATAACTCTAAGATTTGTATTCATAAACATACAGCTATCGGTCAACACCAAGATAAACATAAAAAGTTCATAGAATAACATGATAATCAGAACTTTTTGAGCTTAAATTCACCTGTCTCTCATTCAATAGTTAATGAAAATAAACTTGTAATTCACCTGTCTCTCATTCAATAGTTAATGAAAATAAACTTGTAATTCACCTGTCTCTCATTCAATAGTTAATGAAAATAAACTTGTAATTCACCTGTCTCTCATTCAATAGTTAATGAAAATAAACTTGTAATTCACCTGTCTCTCATTCAATAGTTAATGAAAATAAACTTGTAATTCACCTGTCTCTCATTCAATAGTTAATGAAAATAAACTTGTAATTCACCTGTCTCTCATTCAATAGTTAATGAAAATAACCTTGTAATTCACCTGTCTCTCATTCAACAGTTAATGAAAATAAACTTGTAATTCACCTGTCTCTCATTCAACAGTTAATGAAAATAACCTTGTAATTCACCTGTCTCTCATTCAACAGTTAATGAAAATAACCTTGTAATTCACCTGTCTCTCATTCAACAGTTAATGAAAATAACCTTGTAATTCACCTGTCTCTCATTCAACAGTTAATGACAATAAACTTATAATTCACCTGTCTCTCATTCAACAGTTAATGAAAATAACCTTGTAATTCACCTGTCTCTCATTCAAGAATTAATGAAATAAAACTGAAAATCAACATGTCTCTCGATCAACAATTAATGAAATAAAATCCATAATTAACCTGCCTCGTGCTCAACAAGTAATTAAATAAAATCAGCTTACTTCAAATGAGGCTACAGCCAGCATTGACAGACCGTCGACATACGGACCGAGGATATTGTGTTCCCGTACCTTTAGGTTTTGTTTACTTCTGCAAACAAACATCAAACAATATTACATTTTTATCTACTGATATTTATTGAACAAATATGATACAAAAGAATACAATCTTTCTTCTAGATAATATAATCCTTTTTTTATTCATTTGTTTGTTAATTCTTGTGTATAATCACCTGAAATTCACTTATGCAAAGAAGAATAAAATGATTTTCCTTCAAATACAAAATTCCTTTCAGGGTTTTTTGAAAATTATATATTCAATGTGGAAACAATAATATTTTTCAGAAAACAAACCCTTTAGGGTGAAGCACTCATATTCTATATATAAACCCTTTAGGGTCAAGCATTCACATTCTATATATAAACCCTTCAGGGTGAAGCACTCATATTCTATATATAAACCCTTTAGGGTGAAGCACTCATGTCCTATATATAAACCCTTCAGGGTGAAGCACTCATATTCTATATATAAACCCTTTGGGGTCAAGCACTCATGTCCTATATATAAACCCTTTAGGGTGAAGCACTCATATTCTATATATAAACCCTTTGGGGTCAAGCACTCATGTCCTATATACAAACACTTTAGGGTGAAGCAATCATATTCTATATACAAACCCTTTGGGGTCAAGCACTCATGTTCTATATACAAACCCTTTAGGGTCAAGCACTCATATTCTATATATAAACCCTTTGGGGTCAAGCACTCATGTTCTTTATACAAACCCTTTAGGGTCAAGCATTCATATTCTATATATAAACCCCTTGGGGTCAAGCACTCATATTCTATATACAAACCCTTTGGGATCAAGCAGGTCATGAACTTTCTCATTGTAGATTTCCATATAAGATACTTCAACTTTGAAGCCAAGGTCTGGTGAGTCATTCTGAGCAATTCTCTCAAACAGAGCATCACATAGACGAGGAATGATTCCCTTACCATCCTCCTTATAAGTACCCATCATGGAGTAGGACTTTCCCGAACCTAGCAACAAAATAATATGAATCTTCCTCCTCTATATGTTTGAGATGTATTATCATTGGATGACAGTGTAAAGTAAAATCTGAGGGAAATCTAAAGTCTCCTTTTCTCATACACATCTATCAAAAATTACATACAAATCTGATTACCTCTTTATAAAGAAAATTTTGGTTCCCAATTATTTACTGTAACATGTTCAGAAAGGCCATTGAATATGACATCAATTTTTGCAAAATATCATAAATGTTTTCAGATGGAAAAATCCAGTGGTGTTTAGAACATTTCACCTTGTTGTGTACAGGAAACAATTTTCATATATCTGCCTCCAGATTCATCACTTTTAAAAACCTATTTACTGATATGTAAATATTTCAGTTCCCCGTGAAGTCAAATGGACTCAAAATCCAACAGAATCTTTAGAAGATTAACTACGATGTAACGATGTTGTTACTTTCCCAGTAGAAAGACTTGTATATTCTATATCAAAATCCATGTATTTACAAAATTATTTTGATCCTTTGGAGCTGTTCATCGACCAAGTAGCTAGTATAAGGGAAGTGTGAGGGAACTTTCTACAATCAACCAACAAGAAGAAAAAGGATTTTCTCATCAATATGTAACTTGGTCTGTGAAAGAAGAGTTACTGCCCCTTGGCCATAGATTTGGAAAATCAGAGTAGCAAAATATTTTGTTTTGTTGTTCAATCTTTGTCTACCTAATATTTACCTGATGTCAATGTTATGCTGTATTTTGTTAGATGACAAACTACAAAATAATTGCTCTGCACAGAAATGTAATTCCCAACTTCAACAGATATGGCCGTGATCTTGTGAATTTTCGTGAATAAACTTATTGATAACAGCATATAGAATCACTTATTTCAACAGTTATTTACATAATTTTATGTTTTTTCAAAGCAAATTCAGAAAGTAATTCTGTCCAATTACCACACACGCTAAAATACAGCTGTTTTCCATCACTACCATATGCAATGGCAGCGCCAGTTGTAGGATCAATGTATTTATGAAGTCAGTCACATCTTTATTATTCTGGTTTTATAGCGGTATCATGTTTGTATTTCTTGTGTGTGGACTAGTAGTTACAAAATGTTGTACATCATTTCCTTAAAACATCATCATATGGACAGCCTAATCAAGGACGTCTTGTGTTTGGACTAGTAGTTACAAAATGTTGTACATCATTTCCTTAAAACACCATTAATGGACAGCCTAATCAAGGACGACTTGTGTTTGGAGTCCCTCTATAGTGAACTATCATGAAATTCTTTCCTCTCACTTGATTCAATCTCATCCCAAACATGTGATTTACATTCTATTTGTTAAAAAGACATTCTTATCACTAATTATCTTTTTAGCTACTTTTGATGAGAAAATCCTCCCCACCCATCCCCCCCCCCCCCCCATGAAATCTTGAATATGAAATATAACAACAAATTTTACAAAAGAGACAGCTCATTTTAAAATACAGTTATTCTGCATTACAAAAGGCATGGAAATCAAGCATGAAATCTCTAACATGCTTTACTACATTTTGACTATTGATGATATTACACAGGTTTTTTTCTCTCCGTCAACAGAAAAAAAAGTACCTGTTTGTCCGTAGGCAAATATACAGCCATTGTACCCATCAAATGCTTGTTCCAGCACATCCTGACCAAGGCAGTTAAAAACTTTTTCTTGACCTGAAATAGGTTTTTTAAGATACATATAAGTAAAATATCCTCCACTGATGTAAAGCTGAAGACATCTATTGAGATGTTACAAAAGCAACAAAGACAATAAAAATCTTAAGATATCCATACACTCACAAATCTACAGTCTTATTTAATTTATTTGACATGAAAAATTTCTACCAATGCTTCTGGTAAATACTTTCCCTTTTCACTCCCTTTTAGAGATTTTGTTTAGAGTAATACCAGGAGGGATCTTGGAAACTGAACCATGTTTATTAGTTCTGTAAAACACTAATAATTTCTCTATTTTCCTTCATTTCCCATTTCCTCTTAATCATTTGAATTCTTACTAATGAAATCTCAGAATGAGAACTTTCTGAAAAATAGTTAAAAATATTAAACTTTCAAAATCAAAGATAATGTGAAGTCAGCCTTTTTTCTATCTTCAGCAGATCAAAAATTGCATAGACACACCAAGTAAAATTTCAACTGTCAAAGTCAATGATGGCGTTCTGTCAGTCTTTTTTTTCCCCCAATTTTATTTAAAACTGAATGAGTATAACTAGGGACCATAGGGAATATATATATCAGGTTTGAGAAATATTCCTCCAGTTCTTTCAAGAAAAAACAATAACAAACTTCAACTGTCAAAATCCAAGATGGCTGATTTTTGGCCATTTTGCTTGATCAGTCTCAAAATTGAACAGGCACAACTAGAGATCATGGGAAACCAACATTCCTGTACTACTTCTCAAGAAATTATAATAATCTTTTATCATCAAAATCAAAGATGGGTGCCTTAAAACTTTTTATAATGGTAAATTTATTGAAGAACATGACATAGTGGTGAAGGTCACTGCTGATACGTGATTACTAGGCATGATGCAAATGTACTATAAAAACTTATAACAAAAGAAACAGATGGACAATTCATTTCATTATCAGAAACAGCAATATTTTCCATTTAAATTTGATTCAAATTTTCAGAAAATTAATATCACCTTCGGAGTTTGATGAGGTGCAAAATTTATTTTGGAAACCAGGAAAATGAAACTGACTGAGACAAGCTAGACTTAAAGCCTTGATTGCTTTTGTGTAACAACCTTGACAATCAATTGATGAAGGTCACTGATGTGGATTGGTCTGGGCACAGGAAATCCCAGGATGCTACATTCATGATGGTACCCAGACATGATCTCATACCTGTGTGCTAACACTGATGAGCCGTCACACAAATAATCAACGAGATATTGCTGAATTTCAATCTAAAGATGATTCTGAGTCGCTTAAACCCGATTGATTTTGTTTTTAGTGTTGTTTTATGAGGTGTGTATAGACCGCCCTGTGATAGTGTATTACATAACACCAGAACCACTCTCATTTCCATTTCCGTCCTGCGATTAACGATAGATTACACTGCCAGTTCACTTAATATAGGATCAGTCTGACCTGGGGGAGAGCTGAAACCTTTCAATAATATGTTTTTAGTACTGTGGAACACTGTAAGCATTATACCTGTATGCTTGTTCGGTGCTACCAATACCTACCCGCAAATTTTGGATTGCTTTCATCAATAGACCAAAAACAATGATCAAATGCAAATGTCTGAAACAGAAAAAAAGTAGTATTTGTAACTGATAAGACAGATATCATGCCAAATATCAGATGGTATTATCTACTTTACTATGACATCAGACAGAGTTATCTACCCTTCTATGACATCAGACAAAGTTATCTACCATCCTATGACATCAGTAAGAGATATCTACCCTAATATGACATCAGAGTCATTTAACATACTATGACAACAGGCAGAGTTATTACTATATCAGACAGAGTTATCTACCCTAGTATGACATCAGACAGAGTTATCTACCCTAGTATGACATCAGACAGAGTTATCTACCCTAGTATGACATCAGACAGAGTTATCTACCCTTGTATGACATCAGACAGATTTATCTACCCTAGTATGACATCAGACACAGTTATCTACCCTATTATGACATCAGACACAGTTATCTACCCTATTATGCATCAGAATTATCAACCCAACTATGACACCTGAGATTTCTACCATACTATGAAATAAAGAGTTATCTACCCTACTATGACATCAGAGTTATCTACCTTACTATGCCATCAGAGATGTCTACCATACTATGACATAAAGAGTTATCTACCCTAATATGACATCAGAGTTATCTACCTTACTATGACAACAGACAGTTATTACTATATCAGACAGAGTTATCTACCCAACTATAACATCAGTTATCTACCCTATTATGACATCAGACACATTTACCTATCCTATTATAACATCAGACACAGTTATCTACCCTATTATGCATCAGAGTTATCTACCTTACTATGCCATCAGAGATTTCTACCCTACAAGTAATCAACCTTACTTGGACATCAAAGAGATTATCTCCCTCACTATGACACCACAGAGTTATCTACGTTACACACATAGAGTTATCTACGTTACAGTGATATCAAACTGAAATAGCTACTTAACTATGGCACCATACTGAATAGTCTTCTTTACCCAAAGAAACAGTTATTTACTTTAACCTTAGAAAGAATTATCTACCTTTGGAGCCTTTCTGCCACCTGCCCCATTTCCTCGTTCTCCTCCACCATCATGCGGGCTGTAACAAAGAAATAAGAAAAAATCTCAAATTTGTGTACTCTCAGATAGCCAGTTATTACAAGGTAAGATTACAGAAAAAAGGCCTGATTTATATAGGTTTACGCCTAGTTAATAAAGGCTAAGGTTTAAAAAGGTTAAGGTTTTGTCTATATAGGTTTACACCTAGTTAATAAAGGCTAAGGTTTAAAAAGGTTAAGGTTTTGTCTACATAGGTTTACACCTAGTTAATAAAGGCTAAGGTTTAAAAAGGTTAAGGTTTTGTCTATATAGGTTTAGGTCTGGTTCAAACAGGTGAAAGTCTAATTATACAGGTTAAGGTCTGGTTTATACATATGAAAGTCTGATTAAACAGGTTAAGGTATGATTATACATTTTAAGGTATCATTATACAGGTTAAGGTCTGGTTTATACAGGTTAAGGTCTTGTTTATACAGATGAAAGTCTGATTAAACAGGTTAAGGTATGATTATACAGGTTAAGGTCTGATTTATACAGGTAAAGGTCTGATTAAACAGGTTAAGGTCTGATTTATACAGGTTAAGGTCTGGTTTATACAGATGAAAGTCTGATTAAACAGGTTAAGGTATGATTATACAGGTTAAGGTCTTGTTTATAAAGGTTAAGGTCTGGTTTATACAGGTTAAGGACAAGGTCAGGTTTATATAGACTGAAGTCTAGATTATTCAAGTTAAGGGTTTAGTTTATATAGCTTAAAGGTTAGTGTTATTCTGTGAACACTTCCAGTCCCAGTAACTATGGAAAGGCCACCATCTATAGACCCTTCCTTTGGTAGGACTTTTTCCAGCTTTGTAATTTGCAATTGGAGATTTACTTGACATAGCAATTGAACTATTATAGAATCTCTACCATGTTAACTATCCTTTGACAGAAAATCTGAAATGTCACACAGAGTGGTAAATAGAAATTAGCATGGCATCATTCTTACAATAAAATCGTGAGAACATTTGTTTTAAATAGACCTGAGAGTCTTGTGAGAATATACATTAGGAATAACACCAAGAATGCAAGTTTCTTTACATCCCTGAGGAATTTTTCTCATCCAATTTGGAGCCACATTTCCCAGCCAGCAATGACAAACTCAACACACAAAATATTTAAGAATTTCTGAAGTCATTCCCCATGCCATTGGAATCACTCAAATTGTTCCGCAGGCTGTTGGAAGTATTTGATTTCGACATTCTCGTTTACGAGGTTTTGCGTCTTCCCTCAGCGAATATAATTGGTTTAAGACCAGGGTTCGTGATGTCACTACAGTGCAACAAGAATCAGAGACTTCTACAATAAGTGTGAAATTTGTGTTGTTTGTGAATGTCACAGTGTGCATGTTGATCCCAGTATAGATAAGTGATAAGGAACCAATATCTGGTCATGTTAATGACGTACACGACACATGGGGTTGGTTTCTAAAGCTGTGGAGAGACTTCTTTGAGAGGTATCATGCATGTAACACAATCATTTGTATTAGCTTCAGGAAATTCAACCAATAAAAAACTCTAGAATTTGAAATATCAGAAAATAAATCTTTCTAATTCCTATCAGAATAATTAGTTTTTGCTTACAATGCATACTTCTGAAACAGGTCATGGAACAAAATACAAGAGGTCCGAGAGTAATCTTGGCGTCCACCATTGTTTTATCTTTATTTGCTCTTTGAAAGATGGATATTTTCCCTCCTTTTCTTACTGTTCTATTTTTGCTCTTAATGATTAGAAATTTGAACATCCCTTCGCAAAAATAGCAATGAAAATCTTCAATCCCTAAATCCAAGATGGTTGCCTATGTTTCATTTTTTTTTCCACTGATCTTTTTTATATCTTTAAGTTATAGTCCATTCTTAACAACAGGCAAAAACAGCAACCCCTACAGAATAACTTTTATAATAGATCAACAGGCAAAAACAGCAACCCCTACAGAATAACTTTTATAATAGATCAACAGGCAAAAACAGCAACCCCTCAACAGGCAAAAACAGCAACCCCTACAGAATAACTTTTATAATAGATCAACAGGCAAAAACAGCAACCCCTACAGAATAACTTTTATAATAGATCAACAGGCAAAAACAGCAACCCCTACAGAATAACTTTTATAATAGATCAACAGGCAAAAACAGCAACCCCTACAGAATAACTTTTATAATAGATCAACAGGCAAAAACAGCAACCCCTACAGAATAACTTTTATAATAGATCAACAGGCAAAAACAGCAACCCCTACAGAATAACTTTTATAATAGATCAACAGGCAAAAACAGCAACCCCTACAGAATAACTTTTATAATAGATCAACAGGCAAAAACAGCAACCCCTACAGAATAACTTTTATAATAGATCATTTCTTAAAAAATAAAAATAAAAATCTTCAGATTAGATATATCTAAACACTTAAAGTTTACATTCGAGGGTGTAGGAATACCAACTTGACAAAAAGAAAATTCCATGAAATATTTTAAAGACTTGTCTTTGTTCAGATGTCATTATTAAGCCCCATGAATACCAACTGAATGCAGTTCAATGCTTATATTTATTTATCCGTTATGTTTTTTTACTTTTTTTCCTTCTTTTTATTGCAATTAAAAGTTCCTGCATTTTCTGTAAGCAGTTATGACAGTTTCTTTACAACAGATGTAGAGCATCATAGACAGAAGTTGAGGAATATTTGAAGCTGACAGCAACTGATTATTTTCAAAAATCTTCAGTCAGCAACAAATAAATGAGCTATCATTCATTGTCAATTTGAATGACCAATGTTTTGTAAATTTGTTGAAGTTTTCAAATATAATCCTTGATCCCCCACTCCTTTCCCCTAGAACAAAAAAATCACAGGCCGAAAAAAACCTTCTTCAGATCATTTAACTTTAGTTTGATTATATTTGGAGCTATTTTCAGTCACCATTATATAACTGAAGGGTCATTCCCTGGAACTTCTGAAGGAAATTGATCAGAAGATTTTGAGTTAAGAGGAATAAGTAGCCACTTCTATGACTGTCTTGGTAACTGTACACCAGACACTTGAAAATATTTCACATCCTAACTAACCATATTACAGACTCAACATCACAATAAATTCTGAATTATTGTACATGTCACCGAATGAGCCTTGGGTAAAGTTTTGACACTGAAGAAATAAAAAATAGTTTAAACCTTCCAGAAATTTTGTATTGATTCTGTTATAGCCTTGTCAGTCTACCCTGGTTTTACTCTAGCTAAAAACAGGGGAGATAATTAGAGTGTTGTGTGTGACAGTGTCTAGTGCTTTTAATCTGATCAGCTTCTACATCTCATGCCTGGCGTGTAAATAGTAATCATGTACAAGGTCTTGTCACTGTTTAAAATCTATCGGCCAGACAGAGCACTTTAACACACCTCTAACAACCTTTTATACACAAGGTGGACAGGAATGTAAGGCTTCCCTAATTACTTCAGGAAAATCGACCATTAAACTAATATTGACAGACATTCCTCCCTAAACTTCACCTGAAAACCGGCAACATTTCTCTGTGTTATATAATAAAGAAGGTACAGGGAAACATGAATCTCAAAATAAACAAGAAACTTTAGATCTCAAAATTATACAGGGATCTGTGGATCTCAGAATATACAGGGATCTGTGGATCTCAGAATATACAGGGATCTGTGGATCTCAGAATAGACAGGGAACTGTGGATCTCAGAATATACAGGGATCTGTGGATCTCAGAATATACGGGGAACTGTGGATCTCAGAATAGACAGGGAACTGTGGATCTCAGAATAGACAGGGAACTGTGGATCTCAGAATATACGGAGAACTGTGAATCTCAGAATAGACAGGGAACTGTGGATCTCAGAATAGACAGGGAACTGTGGATCTCAGAATATACAGGGATCTGTGGATCTCAGAATATACAGGGATCTGTGGATCTCAGAATATACAGGGAACTGTGGATCTCAGAATAGACAGGGAATTGTGGATCTCAGAATATACGGGGAACTGTGGATCTCAGAATAGACAGGGAACTGTGGATCTCAGAATATACAGGAAACTTTGGATCTCAGAATATACGGGGATCTGTGGATCTCAGAATATACAGGGATCTGTGGATCTCAGAATAGACAGGGATCTGTGGATCTCAGAATATACAGGGATCTGTGGATCTCAGAATAGACAGGGAACTGTGGATCTCAGAATATACAGGGATCTTTGGATCTCAGAATATACGGGAACTGTGGATCTCAGAATAGACGGGGAACTGTAGATCTCAGAATATACGGAGAACTGTGAATCTCAGAATAGACAGGGAACTGTGGATCTCAGAATAGACAGGGAACTGTGGATCTCAGAATATACAGGGATCAGTGGATCTCAGAATATACAGGGATCTGTGGATCTCAGAATATACAGGGAACTGTGGATCTCAGAATAGACAGGGAATTGTGGATCTCAGAATATACGGGGAACTGTGGATCTCAGAATAGACAGGGAACTGTGGATCTCAGAATATACAGGAAACTTTGGATCTCAGAATATACGGGGAACTAAGGATCTCAGAATATACGGGGAACTGTGGATCTTAGAATATACGGGAAACTGTGGATCTCAGAATATACGGGGAACTGTGGATCTCAGAAATCTCAGAATATACGGGGAACTGTGGATCTCAGAATATACGGGAAACTGTGGATCTCAGAATATACGGGGAACTGTGGATCTCAGAATATACGGGAAACTGTGGATCTCAGAATATACGGGGAACTGTGGATCTCAGAATATACGGGGAACTGTGGATCTCAGAATATACGGGGAAACTGTGGATCTCAGAATATATGGGGAACTGTGGATCTCAGAATATACAGAGAACTGTGGATCTCAGAATATACAGGGAACTGTGGATCTCAGAATAATCAGGGAACTTTGGATCCATTACAATTTTTGTGATTTATGATATTACTTTCAATTCATTTGTCTACCTGATCCTACTTCAAATTCTCTTCCAAAT